TTTAAAAATTCTGCTGCATTTGATCACTTTCTAGATACTTGATTTTGTTAATCAGAGGCCCTCACCTTCACAAAGTCTTTAATCTCAAAGGGTAGCTTCTTGCAGGCATTCAGGAGCTCAGCTGTCTTAACTTTAATTTCAATTTCACCTGTTGGCATTTTCTTAGAAAAAAAAAGATCTATTTTAGAAAATCATTTTTCAGAACATGTATGCAATATAAATTTGTAAAACACATATTTATATACATATATAAGATGTGTCAAGCTACAGTGTAGGTTACAAATAATAAACATCTATATGATTTTTATATTCTTATTTATATGTGTGGCTCCTAAGATCAGCAAATATCATTACATATTTGTCAAGGTCGACATGTCTCTTTGTGCACACTTATATGGGTGTTGACATCTGTAAGTTCACACGTGGAACATAGGAAACTTAGGAGCTTTAGTGCTAAGTGTCCACAAGGGACTCAATCTATGCTGTTAATGTATATGCAGACATTGTAAGTACACAAAGACAAACTTTCTATTTCCTAACTACTGACTGGATTCACTTGTCCTGGAGGCCGAGAGATAACCGTCCCAGATACTTTCACCACAGATTCCATGGGGGCTTCACATAATATCTTCTTCACAGATGCAGCTGACTGCAAAGTAAGGGTGAGGAGAGTCAGTTCTGAGAATAAATGAACTTCTAGAACTCTTCAGTGAGCCTACTTTAGAAAAATGATATTCACAGCTTACTTGCTGTAATATTAGAGCTGTCTCAATGTTATTACAAGGTTTCATCAATTCCATTGCCACTTTGGCTCCAATTAACACAGCCAGTAAGACCACAGAGAGCCCTCCCTCCCGCCTTTCCTTTGGCAGGGTCTCACTATATAGTCTACATTGGACTTGATTTCTTCCTGCCCAGCTTTCCAAGTGCTGAGATTGTGGGTATGCACTACCATGTCCACTGGCTACTCACTATGCAGATGAGTCAGCATGGCCTCAAACTCAGAGATTCACATGCTTCTGCCACCCAAGTCCTGGGATTAAAGGCGTGCATCACTATGCCCAGCTTGCCAGCCACCTTTTATGTTGAGACAGAGTCTAAGTTGCCCAGGCTGGCTTTATTTAGTGAGTGTGTGTTTGTATGTCTGCGTACACATGTGCCATGGCCTGTATGTATGTAGAGGTCAGAGGACAGCTTGTGGGAGTTGGTTCTCTCCTTCCACCAGGTGAGTCCCAGAGATCAACCTCAAGCTGTCAGCTGGTGGCAAGAATCTTTATCCACTGAGTCACCTCCACAGTCCTAAATCACATCTCCATCTTTGGTGTACTTTCATGTACACGTGTGTGTACACGTGTGCATACACACACACACATATCTATTTATTTATTGCAGATAGGGTCTCATGTAGACCAGGCTTGGCTGACTGCACTGCTGAAGCTGGCCTTGAATTCTTGACCTTTTACATCTGCCACCAATTATGAGATTTTAAGTGTATGCTATCATGTCTGACTTATATTTTCTTTGAAAATTATTTTTAGGTTACTTTTTTCTATAAATTTCATCTTCACATTCTGGGTCCTTTATTGATTTTTTGATAGCCAATCTATTTCTTTTTCTTTTTTTTGGTTTTACGAGACAGGGTTTCTCTGTATTGTTTTGGAGGCTGTCGGTCCAGCCCGGCCTTAAACTCACAGAGATCCGCCTGCCTCTCCCCCCCCCCCCCCCAGTGCTGGGATTAAAGGCATGCGCCACCACTGCCCGCTAATCTATTTCTTACATTTATTTTGTATGTGTGTGTATGCACAGACACTCACATGAGTATAGCATGACACTAATGGAAGTCAGAAGATAACTTGTGGGAGATGTTTTCTCCTTCTACCATGCAGGTTTAGATAACGGAAGGAAACCTTTTATTACCTCATCCTGGGGAATGATAATTTGAACAAGACCGTGGCAATCTCTTAGGACTAAGAAGGTGTTTTGCCTGAATAATGGAAAAAGAAAGAATATTTTAGGATAAAGTTTGTCAGCTCAAAATTCAAAGGTAAAAGCAGTGAAAAAGTTCCATGTAATTTCTCCATTTGTTTTTTTTTTTTTCTTTTTGGTTTTTTGAGACAGGGTTTCTCTGTGGCTATGGAGGCTGTCCTGGAACTTGCTCTGTAGACCAGGCTGGCCTCGAACTCACAGAGATCCGCCTGCCTCTGCCTCCCAAGTGCTGGGATTAAAGGCGTGTGCTACCACCACCCAGCCTATGAAAATGGAATAAATTCTAAGAGTAAGGTTTTATTATTCAAGAAAGTGAAACTTTTTATGTAGTTTACTAATAAAGAGAACTGGGCTGGAGAGATGGCACAGAGGTTAAGAGTACTTCTTGTTCTTCCAAAGGACCCAGGTTTGATTCTCAGCATCCAGATGGCAGCTCACAACTATAACTCTAGTTTCATGGAATTAAACACCCATTTCCAGCTTCTGTGGGCACCAGGCAGCACATGGTACCCAGACATATATGCATGCAAAATACCCATACACATTTTCCAGTAATTCATTAAAAAGCAAACACAGGGTAAAGAGACAGCCAATGTATGTTCTCTAGGCCTTTTGGAAAGCGCAGATGTATTCTTGTCTACATACATGTGACTCTACAAGGGTGACATTGCAGACATCCAGGGGACGAATACAGCAAAACTATAAAAGTCTGCACTGTCACTCAGCATAGTGTTGACACAGTTATAAATAAGCAAATTAAGGACAAGATTCTTGCCAAGACGATTAAAGTTTGTATTGAGCATGCCACCCACTCTAAGAGCCAGGGTAAATTTTTTTAAGTAACAAATGACTACTACATTTTGAACTTCTTCAATATGAACTAATGTGCTAATATGCGTTGGAACATAGAGATGAACACCAAAAACAGCAAATGGGTTTTGGACCTAAGGAATGTTCATGTTTTTAGGTCTTTTCTCTACTTAAAAGTTTTACTGAAGCAAGCTTTCTCCGACAACATTGCTGCTTCTCCACTGACTTACAGAATTCTAGTCCATTCCCAGTAGCTGGTTATAAGAACTTTCCAGCATTAGCTCAAGATTATTTCAGTCCACTGGTGGACCAGGTTTTGTCACTACACCCTTTAACAGATAAGAGTGACACTATTAGAATTTTCCAAATAAAACAGAATGGAAAATGTAGTGAATTCTGAGAGAACTACAAAAGTGGCAAAATATAATTCGCTGACAGGATAAGAATCAGTAAAGGTTGGAACTGCTTGGAATATAACCTTCATGTATTCCTAAGCCATTTGCCTTAGTTTACCTTCGATATTGAATCCATCCACACAGAGTGACTTCTTGGCCTAGGTGGGAAGAACGCAATTCTCCACATGTGTTGGTCCGAGCAACAAAGCTACTAAATTCTTTAAAAAAAGAAAACAAAACAAAACAAAAAAAACAATTTAAAAGGTTAACTGTAAAAATATTTGTAGTTTGTTTAAAATGTTCTCCATTCATGGTATAATAGCTGTTTCAGGTCAATGGGTGAAGTTAATAAAAATTTTAAATTACATTTGTGTGTGTGTGTGTATACCATACATGTGGGAGCCCACATGCCATGATGCACCTGTGGAGGTCAGAGGGCAAGTTGTTGGATTTTGTTCTCTTCCTTCATCCACACCATGGGTCCTGGAAACGAACTCTAGTTCCTCAGGCTTGGCAGTAACTGCCTCAACTCCCTGAACCATCTTGATAAACCAATGAGGTTTATAAATAGGCTAGATCAATTTCTCTATTTTGTTTACCTGCAAATGTGTCAAAGCCCAAATGAATTACTGCCCTTAAGTAAAATGCTGCATTCTGTTTAGAAATCTGAATTTTTACATGACCTGGCATTTTCATGTCCAATTTTAAATATTACATGTTTCTTTGCCAAGTGAAATATGACCTTAGAAATTATAAGTTTGACAGTGCAGTTACTTTTCAGCTTTAGTACAAATCTAGTGTATAACAATAATTTATTAAAAGTGTGAAAAATATTTAGTCTACTAGTAGTATCACCTAAACACAGAATGTCCTATGTGCGGTTATTATTGTTTTTTTTTTAATCAAGAAAAAAAGCCCTGACTATAAGTAGTGAAGAGAATGACCTGCTTGCTATAAAAACGCAGTTAAGACCGGGGAAACAAGCCCTCAAGAACAGCCGGAAGCCCGTCCCTGCGTTCACCTGGGATTCTCTGGGAACTCAGACTTCTGGAGAGGGAACCCCAGATTGGCTGGGTGGTCTTTCCGATGGGTCTGGATAAATCCCTGCATAGACGACTTAACCAAGAACCAAGATACATGTTGAAGCCCAGGGTCGCGAGAGACAATCACGAATCCCACGCTGCGGGTGTGGTGGTGCTCAAACTTCAGTTTCTGCAATACTAGGGAACCCTTAAAATTCTAGTTCGCACTCAAAAGCATGCAAACCCTCCTCCGCAGAACCTTCAAGTATTTACAAAGTACATTAGTCTGCAAGGTCTCTAGGGTCCCTGGGTGAGCGGACGGGGCAAAACCTTTGCTTCCTTCAGTGCATCAGTTCCCACTTATTTAAGCAAGGCTGCGGCCGGAGGACACCAAAAAGATGCCAAGCCGCAGAGCCAGCGCGACCCTAGCCCAGTCCAGACGCGGGGAGGCCGGTCATCAGGGGCGCCGAGTCCTTCCTTTATCTCCACGTTTTCCCGAAGGTGACCAGGGCATAAGCAGGTGTTTCAAATCTCCCGAACGTGGCGGCCCAGATTGAATTTTGGAAAGCAAACAGATGCAAAATGCTCGGAGGTTCGAACCCCGACACAAGACGCGTTCCGAAACCAGTCCCTCTAACGCCCTGCGAGCGCCAAACTCACGTAAGTTATTCGGCCAATCGGAGCGAGGGTGCCTCCGCCATGTTTATTGTGGGCGGAAATTTGAGAGAAAGCTTCGCACCGGTTGTAAACCGGAAGAGCCACGCGGCGCAATCGGGAATTTGACGGGACTGATTCAAGTCAGCAAGCACGGCCCTCAGTTAAAATGGCGACTTCAGTTGCTGAATTACGTGAAATCGGCGGGCCGCCGGAGAGGCTGTCTGCGTCGGCCGCAGAGCAAGTCGGGAGATGATTTTAAATAGGAGGGCGTGGAGTGCGCGGAGTTGCGCCTACGGCTAGGAGTTTCAGGTCTACTTTTGATCACCGGAGAGCTTCCGAAAGGGGGCTTTGGAGACGCCGTGTCTTTCGTGGGCAGATGCTAGCTTCCGAGGAGTGAGGGTCGCAGAGCCGGGCCACTAGGGAAGCGGAACTGTTTCTCCCAAGGTGAAGTCTCCGGTGTCGCCCGCGTTTGAGCGAGCCAAGGCTCCCTCACTGGTCTTGATGTCTCCTGAACTCACCAGGGATTGCTTCGCTTCTCTCTTAGCAGTCGTTTTGGCTGTTTTCTTATGAAAACAAAAAAATTTCCTCTGGACGTAGTCTTTGAGCCAGACTTGAAGAATGCTTCGTGAGTCCGGAATGGATGACAGCGTCATTACGACTTATTTTTGGTAAGATGTTTTGGGTGGATCCCCGACTGACTGTGTACTGCGTTGAGCTCTGTTGTGTGGCCACTGTCTTTGCGATGCTTTCGGGTGTTTCGATGGGTACACACTGGAGTTAGCGTTCAGGTGGGCGTTGGTATTGGAGCAGCCGGTTGACTGCAGCGATTAACTAGTCACAAGAGGAGTAACTGAGTTTTACTTGTGTGTTTTGAACTGAGTACAAGAGGATTTGGCGAGGGATGTGTTCTGTGGATACTAAAAAGCTGTTGAAAGGGTAAGACTTGGGAAATATTTCGGACCCTTCCAAGCTGTCAACTGGTAACATAGTAGCTTACATAATGGATCACTTGAGGAGTAAATGAAACCGTAGTACTAGATGTGTCCCAGTACAAGGGAGGATGAGGCGAGAGAATTGCTGTTGAGTTCTAGGCCAACCTGAGCTACACGGTCACTATAAGCAGAACACTTGATATTTGTTAAGCGATTGCAAACAAACTTGGAAAGTAATGAATGCTTAGCAATTATTGTACCCAATAACGTACTTCAAGGAAAAATTCTGTAATCTAAACCCACTGAAGTGCACACTGGAGGGCTCACCAGGAATGTGGTCAAGGCTCACATCATGGAAATACTTTATACCTATGGGAAAATGAAAATGCCTATCTAAATGTTGCATCTCTATCTATGGTGTTTCTTATTTTATTTTTTAAACGTAGTCCATGTGTGTCCACATGGACTATGATGTGGGTGTGGTGGTCAGAGGACAGCTTGCAGAAGTCACTTCTCTACTACTGTATGGGTTTCAGGAATTGAACTCAGACTAGCTTAGCTACAAGTCCCTTTACTTGGAGCCATCACAGCAGCCCTGGGGTTTTGAGAATCCAGATGAAGCTAAGGTGCCATGTCTGTAGGAGGAGGAATTGATGGCACAAGATTATGGTTCCCCTAATATAGACAACTGGCCTTTCCAGGTGATCTATCCTCCCTAGAGAATATTGCCACCCCCTTCCTCTGTGGTATACCACTCCTGTGGAGGAGGAAATGACCATGCCCCCTGAGGTACTGTGTGGGTCATTCTGCTTTCCAGATCATCATCGTCACGGGACATCACTCCAGTCCCTATTCGTTCATCAACAAATCCGTTGACAATTGTACTTTACTCTATGTCCTGTCTGGCTCAGTTTTGTCACTTTTCTGGCTGAAGGAGGATTGGTAGGAAAGGAAATCCCTTTCACAGGCAGGTTTGGAAGGCAACAGTTGAGGCATTTCCTCTGCAGGTCAAGTTTTGGCTACAGGGTGTTGCTGTTGTGGGTTGTGTCTGTAAAGATGTCCTCTGGTTTTCTTTTTTTTCTTTTTTCTTTTTTTTTTTTTTGTCCTCTGGTTTTCTGACTAGAAAGTTCACCTCTTCTGGCTGCTGAGGGTGATAAGTGACAAAGCCGGCAGCCTTGAACAGTGCTTCAGTTTGGGAGCACGGTTTTCACTTTCATTGGTGATCTGGGGCCGGTTTAGTGCCTGGGTATTGTGCTGATGTTGCTTTGTAGCCTCCTTCAGGAAGAGGGGGGCACACTGTGAGGTAGCTGCCTTTCTTCTTAAAAACAACCTTTGCTCCCTTGATAGAATGTTCCAGCCTCCAAGGATCCTGGAAGATAGCCATCACCCATGGTGCCCGTTGTCATAATCTGTCATTCCATGGGCTCACACAAACTCACCTCATGTCTTCCCTCACTTGGAAACTGGCAAGCCAGATTAGAGGCAGCTCTTTAGGGTCATCATGAAGCCCCCTTTGTGCCCATCATTCATGGTGGCCTTGCAGGTCTCCTTGACAACATGTGTATCACATTGTTTGACTTATTCTTGAGCTCATACTATCAAGTTCTTGTTTGGGCATTTCTCTTCACGGCAATAGAACAAGTGACCGAGACAGGAAATAGGAGGAAGCTGTGGAAAAGGTGGGAAGGAAAGAGAGTAGGAAGGAAATACTTGTAGAGCAATGTGCATGAGTTGACTTTAGTGCTTAGAATCCTAGTTACTTTTTTTCTTATTGCAGACCATGGATCCTTATGATTCACAAGTATCAACTTCTAGACGAAGGACTTCAAATCTTAAAGATTACTTCGTAGGTGCCACCCCTCTGCAGAAACGACTGGAATCCGTCAGGAGACAGAGTTCATTTTTTCCTAGTCCACCTCGAAGGAAAATTCCCCAATGTACACAGTTGCAGGTATGATTTGTTCACCTTTGGGATAGTCAGTGATTAAAAATATATGAATAAGAATACATAAATTTACATAATGATTTATAGTACTTTTAGTATCTTTTTAAAAAGATTTATTTATTATGTATACAGTGTTCTGGCATGTAGGCGCCAAATCTCATTATAGATGGTTGTGAGCCACTATGTGGTTGCTGGAAATTGAACTCAGGACCTCTGGAAGAGCAGCCAGTGTTCTTAACCTTTGAGCCATTTCTCCAGCCCTACTTTTAGTATCTTAACCTTTTAGCTAATAGGTAAATGAGGAGTAGTTAAGAAAACAATTTCAGCAGGGCCGTGGTGGCACATGCCTTCAAAATCCCAGCACTTGGGAGGCAGAGGAAGGTAGATCTCTATGAGTTCTAGGCCAGCCTGGTCTACAGAGCTAGTTCCAGGACAGCTAGGGCTATCTACACAGAGAAGCCCTGGCTCAAAACCCAAAAAAAGAAAAGAATTTCACATTTTAACCACAGTATCTTTTGTTTCTTCTGATCTCCAGTAATCCATTCATTCCTTCAGTATTTTTCTTCTGTGATGTTGGCATTTTTGAAGCATATAGACTCATACTTTCCCCTGTTTGACTGGAACATTCCTTTTTTTAATGAGCTAAACATTTTATTTATTCATTTCTTGCACTTGAAGTACTCTTTGATGACATCCTTTGCCTGAGATTCTTTGCCCTAGTCCTTAACTGCTAACTGCAGCCAACCACATTCGTGGCTTCCCCTCTTCATCAGTTTTACAGAGGCCTACCCATTCCCCTAGTTCCTTGTCCTCATCAACCTCAGTTAGCTTGATTTGGTGCTCAGTATGAAGTGCCTCAACCAGCCAGACATGCATAGGCTTCATCACAGTTGAATACAGGTGCGTAGAGGTTGGCTTGGTGCTTGTCTAAGGCTTAGGCAGCTTCGCCTGTGCCATGTGCTACCACCTCTTGAAGAGCAATGTTGACATCCATTACACGTCTAGCAGCAATGCCTTCCTTGGCCATAGCCGTGGATTACAGGTGAGGTCGAATCTTGAACACACTGAGCCTCTGCCTCTGTGCAACTTGGCGGCGGCTAGGGAAAAGCTCCTCATTTTTGAATTTGTATGTTTCCCAACTATTGAAATTAGTATTCTTGTCTAGCATTTTTCATTGGTTCTATTGTACCTTTGGTTTTTCGGTACCTTCAGTGTAGCCTTCTCTCTTGCCCACGGTGTGTATCTAGTACCTTTTGAGATAGGAGTCAAGTTTTGTTTCCTATGACGTTTCCTTTTTCTTTTCAAGACAGGGTTTCTTTGTATTGTCTTGGAGGCTGTCCTGGAACTCGCTCTGTAGATCAGGCTGGCCTCAAACTCACAGAGGTACATCTGCCTCTGCCTCTGAAGTGCTGGGATTAAAGGCGTGCGCCACCAATGCCCAGCTATGTTTTTACTTTTTAAAGTGTTTTTTTACATGATTTCCTTTTTTGTTTTAGGAAGAAATCGATCCTCGGAAGGTTGCATTTCTCCTCCACAAACAATGGACTGTATATAGTTTAACTCCCCTGTATAAATTCTCCTATTCTAATTTCAAAGAATATTCTAGACTTCTAAGTGCATTTATTGCTGCTGAAAGGCAAAAAGGACTTGCTGTGGAAGTGGGAGAAGACTTCAACATCAAAGTGATTTTCTCTACTCTAGTTGGAGTGAGAGGAACACAAAGGGACCCTGAAGCATTTCTTGTGCAGGTACAGTAGTATGTATGTAGCATTTGCTTCATAGAGGGGAAAAAATTGTGTTTTGTTGGTTTGGAATGGAAATTATAGTTTTTCTTACTGCTTGTCTGTCTTTGTTGTTGTTTTTTAACTCCTTAAGCTTGGAATTGTTATGACTAACTTAATCTGTTTCCTATATGTGTAGGTGGGTGGAATATGATGTTGATTAGAAAACATGCAGAGGTATAAAGGAAGTTTAAGAAACTTGTACTGACAAGATAGCTCAGCAAATTAAGGCTGGAGGTCAGAATTCCATACCTGGAACCACAGGTAGAAGGAGAGACTTGATCCCACAAAGGTATACTCTGACCTTTTACTCCACTCTGGCCCACTTGCCCTCGAATTATGCACTCACGTACACAGCATAATAATTTTATAAAAATCACAATTTAAAATTTTGGTATACATCTATTTATTTATCTGAATCAACATAGTCTTAAAATTGGTATCTCACTGTCCATAGTTTGTGTTTTGACTAATCAGTGTTATAGCTAATTATTCATTTTACATTTTTGTAGGTACAGATCTAGTCCCCCCCCCCCTTTTTTTCTTTTTGAGACAAGTTTCTCTGTGTAGTCCTGTCTATCCTGGAACTTTCTCTGTAGACCAGGCTGGCTTCAAATTTACAGAGATCCACCTGCCTCTGCCTCTGGAGTTCTGGGATTGAAGGCTTGCACCACCACTGCCCAGCATCTAGTTATTTTCTGCTGTGATAAAACAATGACCAAAAGCAACTTGGAGAGGAAAGAGTTTATAAATTGGCTTATACGTTCATGTCACACAGTTCATGAGGAAAGCCAAGGCAGGAACTCAAGCAGAGACCAGAAGGAGCGCTGCTTACTGGTTTTCTCTCCGTGGCCTTTTAATTTACTTTCTTATATAGTCAAGGCCCCCTGCCCAGGGTAGCACTGTCCACAGTGATCTGGGCCCTCCTATATCAATCATTAATTAAGTAAATGCCCCAGAGACTTGTCTACAAGGCCAGTCTGATGTAGAAATGTCTCAATTGATGTTCCCTCTTCCCAGATGACTATAGCTGGGTCAAGGTGACTAAAAACTAACCAGCACATTATAATTCATTGGATTTTTCTTTTTTTAGGTTTTAGCTCCTAGAAGCAAAATTTTAGTAAGTGGTATGCATTGTATCATTCCATATGGTATGTGATGCCATGTGACTCTCAGAAATGCAGTGCTTCATATCTCTGCCTGTAAGTTGTGCATAAAAGGAACAAGCCTGTCTTTCAATTAGTTAAGAGATTAGCTTTTGTTTTTTGAGGCAGGGTCTGTCTGTATAGCCCTGGATGACTGACCTGGAACTTATTATGTTGACCAGAAGGTTCTTGAACTCACAGAGATCTTCCAGCTTCTGCCTCTTGAGTTCATTCAGAATTAAGTGTCTTCCTTCCGCCCCCACCTTTTTTCCCTTCTGTTTCTTGGCACAGCGTCTTCCTGTGTAGCACTGCCTGGCCCGGAACCCACAGAGATCTGACTGCCTCTTTCTGGGATTAAAAGTCTGTGTGACTGTGCTCAGCTTTGATGAACTAATCCTAACCTTTGGAAAAGGGAATTAATTCTCAATCTGTAGAAAAAGACTAAATTCATTTGTATAAATTAGGTCAGCAAACTAATGTGTAGGCTGTTTCTCCCTCCCTCCCTCTCTCTCTCCCCCCTCTCCCCCTCTCCCCCTCTCTCTCCTTCTCCCGCCCCCCTCAAGACAGTCTTGCCTTATATCCCTGGCTGACCTGATACTCAGTCCTTCCTCAGCCTCCCAAATACTAAGATTAGAGTTGTATGCTACCATGCCCAACTTTTTTTTCTTGTTTCTGTTAGTTAATTTTTTTTCTTGGAACATAGCCCATTTCATTTGCTTCTGTATTGTCTATGGCCACCTTTGGGCTGTAACTAGAAACTTCAAGTAGTTAGCTGTGACAGAGACCATATGTCCTACAAAAGTAAAATATTTAATATCTGGCGTTCCTCACCTGTTCTTTGTTTTTTTCTTTTTCTTGAGCTAGGATCTCATGTGGCCTAGGGTGGCCATTGAACTCACAGTGGTTTTAAGTTATGCTGAGTTGGCCTTAGTCATTCTACCTTTACCTCTTAGATGCTGGGACTACAGTGTATACAATCATACCTGGTACTGTTTGGCTCTTTAAGAAAAAGTCCATTTCCTATAGGATAGGGTTGTCGAGGGATGACCAGTTTGATGGGCATGGCTGCTTTACTATTATCTCCAGTGATGGTAATGCCATATAGCACAAGGATTCTTCCAGTTATTAGGCAAATTTCAAATGATTCTGACCTCAGATACCGGAAAGACTGCCAAGAATTAAAAAAAAAAAGTGCAAGGAAGATGTTACAAACCATGCGTGATTACCCAAGGTGGTGTGCAGCTCAAGGAGTTAGAAGAAAAATGCAATTAAACACGAATTAAAAACAAAATTTTAAACATTATTCTAAGGATTTTCAAATCTCCTTTTGCTGAATTTAGCTTACAATAGGGATAGCACAAGGCCATCCTCACAAACTACCCATGAGTACATGAAAAGATCATCTTCACCATTAGTACAAACCAAAGCCTTTCATTAGTGTGGTCACTACTACAGACTGTAAATTAAAAACAAAATAATAAGTCAGGCATGGTGGCACATGCCTTTAGTCCCAGCATTTGAGAGGCAGTGACAAGCAGATAGGTCTCAGAGTATAAGGACAGCCTGGTCTACGTAGTGACTTCCTGGAGAGCCAATCCTCAAAAACAAAACAAAGCAAAACAGAGCACAATAATAATAATAAATGTGGTTGAAGGTGTGGAGAACTTGGAACCCTCATGCATTGCCAAAAAGTTTCATACCACTTTGGAAAGCAGTGGGCTTCAAAATCTCATTTCTTGATAAGCTGCCCAGATTCTTAGGTCATGAGAGTGTGATACGCATAGTCTATTTGGTCTTGGAGATGTTTAAATCCTTCATGATCTCTTGAATAAGGAGATATGATAAAAGAAACTAAAATGATCGTTTATTAAAAAATATGATGGGGTCAGGTGATGGTGGCATACGCCTTTAATCCCAGCACTCAGGAGACAGAGGCAGGCAAATCTATAAGTTTGAGGCAGCCTGGTCTACAGAGTGGGTTCCAGGACAGCCAGGGTTACATAGAGAAACTCTGTAGTAGGTTTTTTTTTGTTTTTGTTTTTGTTTTTTAATCTTGGGGGCCTGCTAAAGATTAAATAATACCCTAAATAAACACACGGAGACTTATTCTTACTTATGAATGCCTGGCCTTAGCTTGGCTTGTTCCTAGCTAGCTTTTTTTTTTTTAACTTAAATTAGCCCATCTACCTTTTGCCTGTGGGCTTTTACCTTTCCCTTTCTATATACCTCTATATATACCTGTATATACCTTTCTGTATACCTCTATATACCTCTCTATACCTTTCTATATACCTCTCTATAAACCTCTATATATACCTCTATATACCTTTCTGTATACTTCTATATATCTCTCTATACCTTTCTACATACCTCTATATACCTTTCTATATATCTCTTTCCTTCTTACTCCGTGGTTGTGGCTGGGTGCCTGGCCCCTAGCATCCTCCTCTCCTTTCCTCTCTCCTCCCTCTCCTCTTATTTATTCTTTCTGTCTGCCAGCCCTGCCTATTTCAATCTTACATAACTACTGGCTGTTCAGCTCTTTATTAGACCAATTATGTATTTTAGACAGGCAAAGTAACATAGCTTTTCAGAGTTAAACAATTGCAACATAAAAGAATGCAATATATCTTTGCATCACTAAACAAATATTCCACAACAAAACTGTCTTGAAAAACAAGAACTATGATGGGACAATGATTTAAATGTTGCCCTGGTCAGTATATTTTGAAGGTTTGTTTGCTATGTAATTCACACTGGGAAATTTGAGGGGTTAGTCATGTGAAAATAATTAAGTGGTTTTTTTTTGTTTTGTTTTGTTTTGTTTTTTTGTCTCAGACAGGATTTCTTTGTGTAACAACCCTAGCCATCCTGGAACTAGCGTTCTAAACCAGACTGGCTTCAAACTCACAGAGATCGGCCTGCCCCTGCCTCCCAAATGTTAGGATTAAATGCGGGTACCTTCACCACCTGGCAATTTTAAACTATCTTGAACAGACTGGCATAATGGATCAAATTGAAAGAACTTTAAATTTTGGGAGAAGTCATTGGCTGGAAAGAGTTGCTGTGGGAAATGTTCCTCTTCACTGGCAAAACATAAACTGCTGGACATGAAGATCTTCTGCAGTACCTTCTAAAGTTGAGATTTTCTTCCCCCCAAGATGTTGTACCTGAGTGTACCATATAAGGATTTCCTAATTTGGTTTTTGGCAAGATCTTGCCATATGCTCTATCTGTAGTATAGAAAAATATTGTCCAAAAGTCAACATTTTGATTAATGATTAGAGAAGCTCCTTTTTGTGGTTTTTTTATCAGCTATTTTTATTACTTTAATTTTATTTTTTTATGAAGCAAGGTTGGAGTTTATTAAAAATCACTTTTAATACATATTTAATTATAGATACTAGGGGAGAGACAGTATTTTCAAAAGAAGGAGCTGTATATGGTGGCTCACACATGTATCTAGCACTTTGTTTTGGGTTCTTTTTTTAAAGTGTTTTATTAGCATATGTAAATTACATATAATGATGGGTCTCACATGTATTTTGATCATTGTCCCCTGAGTTCCTCCTGCCGATCTCCCTCCTCTTCCCAACTGGTTCCCCTTCTACTTTCCTGTCTTGGTTTTTGGTGACCCAGTGGGAGTTTAATTAGGGCTGTTTCCAGGAACATGGATGAGGGGTTATTTACAGGTACATAGGCAACTTGCCAGTAGCTTTTCCACTAAAGAAAATCATTGTGGGACTTTGAGTTTCTCCCTCTTTCAAGTCAAAATGTTGATTAACCCAATCATCTGCAGGTAATCACAGCTGCTGAGAATCAAGAGAGCAATTGCCAGGTTATATTCAGAGGACAGCATTCCATGTCGCTTCCGTTCTTCCTCTGTCTCTGCTCTCCCATGCATGCTATTCCCTAAGTGTTAGGAGTGATATAGATCTGTTCAACCTCCACTTCTGTGGTTTACTGTGGCCCACAGCAAAAAGTGACTTCTGGCCAAAGATGACAGCAGTATTTATTCATCTATGATCACAACATAATTATTTTTAGAAGGCGATTTGATAGGGATTTGCCCACTAAGCAATAAAACAGCAGTACTTTGCCCACCAGATCCAATGTTTATAGTCCTAGACATGAATTCCTTCCTGTGGAACAAGCTTCAAATCTGATCAGAAAGTGGTTGGTTATTCCCACAACAGTTCTGTAACTACTGTACTGTTCTCTCTCTCTCTCTCTCTCTCTCTCTCTCTCTCTCTCTCTCTATATATATATATATATATATATATATATATATACACACACATATAAATATGTATGTATGTATGTATATTATTTGAGACAGTATTCCATAGACTAGGCTAACTTCAAACTTGTTTTATAGCCAAGGCTGGCCTTGAACTCCTTGTCTTCCTGATTCAGTCTTGAATTATGAGCATGTGCCACTATGCTTGTCCTTATTTTTAATATATTCATTAATTTTGAGAAAATAAAATTTAGGAGTAAATGGTCTTGAATTTAATGAGCTTGTTTTGGCTTTCTTTGTAGATTCTCTCAAAATCTCAGTCATCCCGTGAGCACGGAGAAGGTAGAGTGTTGTGGACTGGTTGGTTCTGCTGTGTCTTTGGAGAGAGTCTGCTGGAGACTGTTTCAGAAGATTTCACCTGTCTACCCCTATTCCTTGCAAATGGAGCAGAGTCCAATACATCTTTAATCGGAGGCTGGTTTCAGAAAACCTTTGACTGTTGCTTCAGTCCTTTAGCAATCAGTGCCTTTAATCTTTCCTGGATGGCTGCTATGTGGACTGCATGCAAAATGGACCATTACATGGCTACTACTGAATTTTTTTGGTCTGTGCCCTGCAGCCCTCAAAGCTTGGATATTTCTTATGCAATTCATCCAGAGGATGCAAAAGCTTTATGGGACAGTGTCCACAAAACACCTGGGGAGGTTACCCAGGAGGAAGTTGACTTATTTATGGACTGTCTTTATTCACATTTCCATAGGCATTTCAAAATTCACTTATCAGCCACAAGATTGGTTCGTGTCTCGACATCTGTAGCTTCAGCACATACTGATGGGAAAATAAAGGTTAGTTTGAACACAGCTAAACAAAATTCTTCTTGTCATGTTTTCCAAATATGTGGTGACTGTATTTTTACATGGAGAAACACACTTGAATGCGTAGCAGTTCAAGACAATAGAGAGATTTATTATATGCTTTGTAAATGACCCACCAATGTCTCCAGGTACCTCAAGCCAGCCTTAAAGTGGAAGGGCACTATGTATTGTGTACTGTAGAGCTGAGTAATATGAACTACCCTCAAGCAACTGAAATTGTCAAAATTGACATACTTTGAAATAATTGTTAAAATAACAGCTTTTTTTTTTTTGGTTTGGTTTGGTTTTTGGAGACAGGGTTTCTCTGTGTAGCTTTGGAGCCTGTCCTGAAACTCACTTTGTAGACCAGACTGGCCTTGAACTCACAGAGATCCGCCTGCCTCTGCCTCCCGAGTGCTGGGATTAAAGGCGTGTACCACCAACACCCGGCTAATAACAGCATTTGTATGTGTGGGATAAAATTATATCCAGTGGTAGGATGCCATCTTTGCCTTCTAGGCTTTCCTATTGCCTCCCCTCCAAAGAACTGGGATCATAGCTGTCTGTGCACCATTACTCATCAAGATCAATGTTTTTAACTTTTACTATGAATGCCATATTTGTCTTTCTGTGCCTAGTAGATATTAATTCTAATTTTTAAACAACACTGTATATTTAATCCATGTTTTATTTTAAAACAAGGAAATCAAGGCCATCATAAGTGTAGATGACACACATTCAAGGTAGACTAGGAAGAAAAGGGTGTACGGGACTGACATAGTGGGCATTGTGTGGCTAAGTGGGTAAGGGTGCTTACTGCCAAGCAGAATAATCTGAACCTGATCCCTGGATGCCACATATTGGTAGGAGAGAACTGACTTCTGAAAGCTAGCCTCTGACTTCCACACGTGCTATGGGATGCACATACATCCATATAGACACAAAAAATTTTTTTATAAAGACAAGGAAGCCTGGTGGTGGTGCCACACACCTTTAATCCCAGCACGTGGGAGGCAGAGGCAGGTGGATCTCTGTGAGTTCGAGGCCAGCTTGACCTACAGAATGAGTTCCAGGACAGATTCCAAAAGCTACATAGAGAAACCCTGTCTCAAAAAAAAACAAATAAATAAGTAAAAGAATACTAGTCACGAGCCTGGCGGTGGTGGCGCACGCCTTTAATCCCAGCACTCGGGAGGCAGAGGCAGGTGGATCTCTGTGAGTTCGAGGCCAGGCTGGACCGACAGCCTCCAAAACAATACAGAGAAACCCTGTCTCGTAAAACCAAAAAAAAAAAAAAAAAAAAAAAACAACTAGTCACTATTTGAACTAAATTTTATGTCTTATGTTCCATGAATACTATAAAACATTTTCAAACTGGAGGTCAAAATGAAATAGGCTGGAAAGTCTATTTGATGAGAAGAGCTAAGCATTAAAAAACAAAAGGAACTTAATATAGTGGCACTTGCTTCTAATTCTAGCACTTCGAAGGTAGAGGCAGGAGGATCAGTGTTTCAAGGTCATCCTTGGCAACATAGGGTTTCAAAGCCAGCTTGTGCTACTTCAGACCCTGTCTCAAAAAAGCTAAAACAAGGGCTGTAGAGATGGCTTAGTGATTAAGAGCTTGTACTGTTCTTGTAGAGGACAAGAGCCTAGTTCCTAGTGCTCATATTGGATAGGTCACAATCATCTGTGTCTTCAGTTCCAGAGACTCCAATACCTTCTTCTGGCTTTTAAATTTGGCTTTAGGGCTGGAGGGATAGCTCAGCCGTTAAAGGCTAGGCTCATAACTAAAAATATAAAATTTGGCTTTAACCAAGCTCAGCTGGTTGAGAACTGCATTGCACTTGCAGAGGATCTGAGTTGCATTCCCAGCACCAACACCAGGCAGTTCACAACTACCTGTAACCAGGTCCAAGCCTCTTCTGGCACTTGGATTCATGTGCATAAACCTACACACATAACTACATAATAAAAAATGAGGGGGGAAGGGAGGAAGGGGGAACTGTGGTTGATATGTAAAATGAATTAAAAAGTTAAATAAAAAATGAAGATAATATAAAGATAAATAAGTAGAGTCAACAAAAAACATGGCAAAACAAAAAAATCCTAGTATCAAATTGCTTTGTCATCATAATACTATCTTAATTTTAAAATCTTTTCTTCTTTTTCTTTTACAGATTCTGTGTCATAAATACCTTATTGGTGTGTTGGCATATATGACAGAACTGGCAATTTTTCAAATTGAGTGAATTCTAGTATGAACTACAAATGATGCATTATAAACCCTCTCAATTATTTCCTGAGTTGCTATTCCAAGTGGGACAGTGGAAGAAATGTAGCACCTAGTTTTTGATGGTGCCTTTGGAGTTGCCTTGGTGGATCTGGAACACAGCAGTGGTAGTGGGTGAGCCATGTTCATGTGCTTCTGTACTCATCACTGTGGGCATGTTACGTGTAATGCTATAGAAGATGCTGGGTTGCTAATATAAAAGTGCCCAACTTGATCAAATAAACATATCTAAAATCTGGTGTTTCTGTTTTAGGTCATTTATTCTCTTGGTGAGGCTTGCCTCTGAGGTTTCTGTTTCTGTTCCTCAATTTTTCATTTCCAAATTTCCTTTGGTTTTTACTATTATTATTGATTCTATTTCCACTTTTAAATCTTGAACTGTTTTTATTAATTTCTCTATATTTGTGTTTTCATAGATTTCTTTAAGGGACCTCTTTAAGGGACCTCTATCATATTTATAAAGGCTATTTTAAGATGCTTGTCTTGCAGTTCAGCTAGGTTGCAATTCTCAGGGCCTACTGTAGTAGAGTTGCTAGCTGTATTGGAGACATATTGTCCTGGCTGTTACTGATTATGTTTTTATGATGATATCTAGGCATCTGGGTTTGGGAAGATTATACTTTGAGACACTGATATCTTGTCTTGTCTTTGTTGGGTAAATATTTTCCCCTCAGTTTCTATTGCCCTCTAGTTCTTAGGAGAGAATGGTGTCTATGTATTGCATGGTAGGAAAATCTTCTGGGATTTTGATTGGTATGGTCACTGAAAGTTCCAGATAATGAATATACAACATATCTAAACTTACAGGACACAATGAAGGCGGTTTTAAGAGGTAAGTTCAAAGCACTAAGTGCCTACATAAGAAATTGGAGAGATGGTATACTAGCAACATAACAACATACCTGAAAGCTCTAGAACAAAAATAAGAAATCACACCCAAGAGTAGACAGGAAGAAGTAAACTCAGGGATAAAATCAACAAAATAATATACAGAATCAGTGAAACAAAAGAGTTGGTTCTTTGAGAAAATCAATAAGATTGGCAAACCCCTATTCAAATTAACTAAAAGGCAGAGAGAGAAAATCCAATTTAACAGTTAGAAATGAAAAGGGGGACATAGCAGCACCAAGGAAATCCAGAGTTATAAGAACATACTTTCAAAAACCTTTCCTCCACCAAATTGGAAAATCTAAAAAATAATTTTCTTGATATATATATACCACTTACCAAAGATCAGGCAAAGCAATTTAAACAGACCTATAACAATGAAATGAAAGCAGTCATTCTGGGAGGAAGGGGGGAGGTGTGGGGAGGGGACTGGGAAGAGTAGAGGGAGGGGAAGCTTCCATTGGGATGTATTGTATGAGAGGAAAAAAAAAAGTGTCCCAACCAAAAAAAGCTCAGGGCCAGATGGTTTTGGTATAGAATCCTACAGTTATTTACCCTGATACCCAAACCACATAAAGACCCAACAAAGAGAATTACACATTGTGATGCTTTGAATAGGAATGGCCACCATAGCTCATAGATTTGAACACTTGGTCACCAGGGAGTGGCACTATTAGGAGGTGTGGCCTTGTTGGAGTAGATATGGCCTTGTAGGGCTTTGAGGTTTCAGAAGCTCAAACCAGTTCCAGTGTCTCTCTTGCTATTGTCTGTGGATTTCCATGTACAACTCTTAGCTACTGCTCCAGCACTGTCTGCCTGCATGCTGCCATACTTTCTTCCATGATGATAATGAACTAAGCCTTTCAACTGTAAGTCACCCCTAATAAATGTTTTCCTTTATAAGAGGTGTCATGGTCATGATCTTTTCACAGCAATAGAACATCGACTAAGGGACCATTAAGGGATATTGAACATAAATATATAATTCTCAATAAAGTATTTGTAAAACCAAACCCAAGAACATATCAAAAAGAAAAGATCACCACCCACCATGATCAAGTAGGCTTCATCCCAGAGATGCAGGGATGGTTCAACACATGTAAATCAATAAATGTAATTCACCATATAAACAGATTGAAGACAAAACACACACACACACACATACACACACACACACACACACAATCATCTCATTAGATGCAGAAAAGGCCTTTGACAAGATCCAACACCCAACAATGATAAAAGTCCTCGAGAAGATGGGCAGTGGTGGTGTACGCCTTTAATCCCAGCACTCAGGAGACAGAGGCAGAGGCAGGCAGATGTCTGTGAGTTCCAGACCAGCCTGGTCTACACAGAGAGTTCCAGGACAGGCTCCAAAGCTATAGAGAAACCCTGTCTTGAAAAACAAAAAAAATCTTCTAAAATATAGACATATAATGGCTATCCAAATGAAATTGTGAAATAATGGGGGAGACAGATTCAATTGGCTATCCCTTGTCACCAGGTCAAGCTTCCAGTCTCAGGATTGGGTTACATCTAATTGAGTTGTTGAACAAAGGGGTCCCATGGGAATCCCCCCAAACAAATTGCCAAAATTGTAGAGTACTCTCCACAAAATGACAGCCAGGCACCATTGTTGAAGACAAAAACTATGCAATTCGTTGAACATGGGGAAATTGATCTAGTGCCTACATAGAACCTTCACCCCTACACCCTATTGTTTTTGGTTCAGGACAGTACTCTGCTGGCTTCCAAAAGAGGAACATAAACACCAACCCAGTCATAAACCCTTGGATCAACAATAGTGTCTTGCCTGCAAGATGTGCTAGTTGGATTGTGCCAGAAAGCATGTGGGTGGGTGTGACCAACAATATTTGATTTAACTTCAGGCTCCTTCTGTGGGATAGAACCCATATCCAACGCTACTTGGGTGACCAAGAACCTAAGACTAGGTAGCTCAGGTGTTGTAATTTTAAACAAGCAGCTAGAGAAAGACACCATGTAACAGAGTTCAAGCAGAGGTTTTTTTTTTTTTTTATTGAGGAAAAAGGAGGGGGGGAGATTGGCCTCTGGGGAAAGAAGAAAAGGGGGAGGAACAGACAGGGAGAGAAAGGGATGGGAAGGGGGCAGGAACCTTTTAAAAGAGAATACAGCAAATATGCACAGTTGATGCTCCTTAGTGACAGCAGCTGAGGGTGTATCCTATCAGAACTCCAAAGGCAGGACAGTACAAATCCCTAAATACTAACATCAGGAACCCAGGGTAAAACCAAATACTACTGTTCTAAAAAAAAAAAAAAAAAAAAAAGAAGGTAGCAATAAAATGACTCCTGGTGACATTCTGCTATACTCATACATCAGTGTCTAACTCAGCCATCACTAGAGAAACTTCCTCCTGCATTAAATGGGAACAAATAACAGAGAGCAGACATTACACAGAGAATGAGAGACCTTGGCACACTCAGCCCTAAACTGAATGTCTCCCTTAAGGTTCCCCCCAATCCCCATCCTTAGGGCTCAGGGAATCCCTTGGAAGAGGAGTCAGAGGGGTGGAGGACACCAAAATAAAACAAACAAAAAACCAACCCCCCAAAAAAAACCAAAAACAGGATTCTCTAAAATATATAGCCTAAATCAACATGATAAAAGTTCAGATGATCTCAAAGGGACTGCAACAGCATTCACAGGTCCTGTGTGGGTCTGCACCAGGTCCTTTGCGATTATGGCTTCTAGTTTAGTGTTTTATTTTGTTTTTGTTTTCTGAGACAGGGTTTTTCTGTAGCCCTAGGTGTCCTCGAACTCCCTCTGTAGATCAGGTTGGCCTCAAACTCAGAGATCCACCTGCCTGTGCCTCTGAAGTGCTGGGACTAAAGGATTGTGACACCACCACCCAGCCAGTTTAGTGTGTTTATGGGATTCCTGAGTATGTGAATGAGTGGTCTGTTTCTGTACCTCCTCTTGGCACTGTTCTCTCTCAGTTTGCTAGCTTTGTCCAATTCCAATGTGTTAGTTTTAGTTTTATCTTACTTTTATCCCTTAGAAACCTGTTTGCGCTCTCTCTCTCTCTCTCTCTCTCTCTCTCTCTCTCTCTCTCTCTCTCTCTCTCTCTCTGTCTCTCTGTCTCTCTGTCTCTTTCTGTCTGTCTCTGTCTCTCTGTCTCTGTCTCTGTCTCTGTCTCTCTCTGTGTGTGTGTGTGTGTTTCCCTGGAAGTGGAGTAATAGATGGTTGTGAGCCACCATGTGGTTGCTGGGAGGAACCTGGGTCTACAAAAGCCTTTAAACCACTGAGCTCTCTGGGGGCTGGAGAGATGGCTCAGAGGTTAAGAGGTCCTGAGTTCAATTCCCAGCAACCACATGCTGGCTTACAACCATCTACAATTCAATCTGGTGCCCTCTTCTGGAGTGTAGACAGAACACTGTATATGTAACAAATAAATCTTAAAAGTAAATAAATAAATAAAAAACAGAAGGGTTTTAACTTAAAAAAAAAAGAAAAAAAACCACTGAGCTCTCTCTACAGCTTCCATCTGTGTGTTTTCTAGTGAGAGAGGTAAAGAGAGTGGATTGGGATGGGTGGTGAGGTAGGGAGAAATTGGGAGTAGAGGGTGGAGAAACTGTAATCAGAATTTATTAAATGAAGGAAAAATCTTTTCTTAATAAAATATGTATACAGTATTCTGCCTGTATGTATGTATGCCTGTAAGCCAGAGGAGTAAACCAGATTTCATTATGGATGGTTGTAAGCCACCATGTGGTTGATGGGAATTGAGCTTAAGACCTTTGGAAGAGCAGCCAGTGTTCTTAACCACTGAGGTTTTAAAATTTTATCTGTCTGTCTATCTATCTATCTATCTATCTATCTATCTATCTATCTATCTATCTATCTATCTATCTATGGGGCCTCATGTGAATTTGAGATCCTGCCTTCACCTCCTAAGTGCTAGGGCTATAGGAATACATCACCCTGCCTGGTTTACGTGGTGCTGGGGCTTGAACCCAGAGTTTTGTGCATGCTGGGCAAGTACTCTACCAGCTGAGCTAATTCACAGTCCTAGAAGTAGTGTTTATTCGATATATATTTTGGGTTTTTTGAGATAAGAGCCTAACTGTAGAACCTAGGCTGGCCTTGATTGCTAGGCATTTCCTCCTGCTTCAGTCTTCTTAGTGCTGGGACTGCAGATGTATAGCTTGAGGGCCTAGGTTCAAATTTCTACTAACTTTATTCAAAGCTGAGTGTGGCCCACAAATTTTGAGCCTGGACTACGTAGCAAGACCAGTCTCAATAAATAATTACTCCCCCCCCAAACCCAAACAAACAAAACTCGTGTCTGCTGATGGTAAGGAATACTTGG